TCTTTTTATTTCCTAAAGTTAAATCTTGCTTAAAGGGAAAGCATTTTACCTCAGCTGAAGAGGTTCAGGCGTAGACGAAGAATCTCCTGAAGGGCGTTCCAAAACAATTGTTTCAGAACTGTTACCAGCAATAGCAGCACCGAATGCAGAAGTGTGCGAATGCTTAAGGGGACTACTTTGAAGGTGATAATGTCACGGAGAACTAATTCTGTAAGTACAATGATTTATTGGAGCAGTCTAGTTTCTTTTGTGTCACATCTCGTATATGGTACCGTATTTGACGGCATATAAGACGCACTGTTTTTCTTAAATCTGTCCTCAAAAAAGTTACCTGCGTCTTATAGGTGAAGGACACAGGATAAATTTCAATACTGAATGCTTAGCCCGGATAAAGGTCTAGACACACGTAACTACATCTGCCATAATTATTTTGCGCATGCGTGAAATATCTGTCGCCAAAACGTGCTGCCAAAGCTCGAAGCTGATGTCGAAGTTCGAACAGATTCGACGGTCACATTACGTCTAGGTAGCCTTTCCTTCCTTACCTAGACTTTCTTTCACTCAGCCGACACACGTTTCGGTATCGGTGCTACTCTGTATAAACGTGTCGGTATAAACTATTTGTTTAAGACAAATACCCTGGAAAATAAGACTACAGGAAACAAGAGATTAAGCTATATAATTCAGTTTAAACTAGGAGTGTTAAACTACGACAAAATGCATGGAAACAGAGCAGCAGCAAGGCATTTCGGTCCACCACCTACCGAAAATAGGATAAGTACTTGGCGACTGCAGGAAAATTAACTGAAAACTGCTAAAAACAAAAACATAACCTTCGATGCCCAGCTCCGTCTTGGCCTGAACTTGAAAATGCCGTAAAAATGTGGGTGATAGATAAGAGGAAATCTGGGATAAGTGTTTCAACCAAAATGATAATCAATGAGGCCAAAGGATTTGCAGAAAACATGGGAATCAGAAACTTTTCAGGGTCTGAGGGCTGGTGCTACAGGTTCATGAAAAGACAAGGCTTATCAATGCGCACAAAAACAACTATTGCACAGAAAATGCCAGCAGATTATGAAGAAAAAATACTAGCATTTCATAGGTTTGTTATAAATGCACGCAAGAAAACTTCTTTTGAGCTCGGTCAAATAGGAAATATGGATGAAATTCCACTCACATTTGATGAACCATTCAACAAGACTGTGAGTATTAAAGAGTCTAAATCAATAACCATAAAAACCACAGGCCATGAAAAAACCCGATATACGGTAGTTCTAACATGTTGTGTTGATGGCACAAAACTACCGCCATTTATCATATTCAAAAGAAAAACTCATCCGAAAGTAAAACTTCCAACGGGTGTAATCGTTCATGTTCATCCGAAAGGCTGGATGGACGAAGCTGAAAGGAAACTGTGGTTACAGAACGTATGGGCGAGGCGACCTGGTGGAAACGAGGTGAGCGAGGCGACCTGGAAGAAAACCTTCTCTTTTGGTTTTGGATCAGTTTAGCGCCCATAGAACTGAAACCATAAAGAATAAAGCGAGAGAATTAAAAACCCCTGATAGCTGGCACTCCTGGTGGACTGACTAGCCAATTGCAGCCTTTAGATGTATCGGTGAATAAGCCATTTAAGGAAAAAGTGCGAGAACGATGGAACAAGTAGATAAGAGAGCCACATTACACGCACTCACATCCTCAGGTAGAATGAAGCGGCCCTCTATTTCACAAGTGTGCGAGTGAATAAAAAGATCTTGGGAGGACGTAAAGGCTGAAGTAATTAAGTCCTTTAAGATAGTGCAGGAATCAGTAATGCTCTTGACGGAACAGAAGAGGACGCATTATTCGAAGAAGGTGATAGCGATGACGTAAACAGTAGTGATGACGATATTCTCGTTTTCGATAACGATAATAGGAAAAGGATTTTTATGGTTTTGAAAGTGATTAAAGTCTAATATCATGATAGGCAACGTTTTCCTTGAATCTGTGTTTTTTGTTGTTTCTGCTTTATTTTGTATTATGTTTGATTGCTTGCCATTCATTCATTTATTCATTATTGAAATTTACATATCATGTTCAAAATAGCTTGTCATTTGTGAATTTTCCTTAATAAAAATACGTTTGGTAATTGCATTCAATGATTGTTTATTTGGCTTTTACGAAACGTGAGAACTAAAAGAAACCACATTTTAAGTTGTGGTACCGCGCCGTCGCGCGGACTATTGAAACTTTTTTTCCTTGTGTGTGTCCTTCTAAATAAAGGTGCGTCTTATATGCCGTCAAATACGGTTATATATATATATATATATATATATATATATATACTATTACCAAATGAAAGAAATTATGTAAATAGGACTTCCAAAACAATATATATGCGCAATTGCTTCTAAGATTGGCATATAATAATTATTTCATTAAGTTCAATTGAAATTAAACAGGCAGACATTGAACTAGAACGTGAAATTTAATCAGAGTGTAAAAATTAAATAAAATTATTGGAATATTTTTCATTAAACTGTATTTGGAAAGTAAGATGTGAAAAGGAATAAAGAAGTAAAGAAAAGTAAAATTACAATAATAAATGCAATAAGGAACAGTCCGTATTCTGTGTGTCTGATTCAAACATCTTCAAGAGGTAGAAGAATTTAACAGCGCTAACTTCCTCCTTTTTTGGCATATAATCAGTTATGCTTCTGTCATTTTGAATTAGATGAGGCATCAAAATTAATTATTCTAATTTATTATTTGAACCTCTGAACATTAAAAACACCATATCGTCATAAGAAGAAATGTTTTTCATCGCTTTTAAATCTCCTAGCCTTTTGATAATACTTGGTAGATTAAACTTGAGAAGTAAATCAAATATATTACCTTTGCCGAATGGCAATATATTAGCTGGTTAAACATCAGGCTTTGTTAAAGATACAGACCTAAGGTTTTTGTCATCACTTATCAAGGCAACGGTAGGCATTACATATTCCAGTTAGCTTAATGTAATGTAACTTTTAGAAAGACTCTAATATTCGTAAAATAAATATTTAAATCACCAGAAAATCTGTGTATTACCTTTGCGTTGTCTTATTTGTTAAGCAGTTACTGAGTAACCTTGAACGTTAAAATATAGATTTTATTGTTTTGCCAAATGACGATGCTTTAAGAATCGGTTATGTGCGAGGAAACTAGAAGATAGATTATACACCTTAAGTTTTTTGGGAGTAGTACTTGTGTGTGCATCATATATGCATAATAGCATACAGCATGTAATTGTTCTACTTTTTCGGAAGACTCCGGTAAAGACATTTCTAAGCAACATGTTGCAAATTTGCAATATTTAATTTTAAAGCTCATACCATAATTTTCTCGTACGCATTAATTTGATAAAATCTCTTAAAGTTGTAAATCTGATCTTAGTTAAAACGCTAAAGTTTTGAAATTATTTAAGAGACAAATTTATTTTGCTTAGTAGAATCAATTTAAGTCAAGCGTTAAAGTGGAAAATTATGTTTTACACAGAAAAGAAGTTTGGGCAACATTTGAGACTAGAAGATGTGTACTGTTTTAAGAATGAATTTACTCTGTGAAATAAACAAAATGAATTAAAGTTGTGGAAAGTGTTTGTGAGAGTATGATGACACATTTAAAGCATTATATTTGACAGGTAGTCAAGAACATCAAAATTGCCTTCCGTTGCCTTTCTTGAGCAAAGGAAATTTTCACTTGTATTGCTGCGTGCTTAGTACTCATGTATATTCTGGAATTCATACTCTTACTGGCAATCGCTGTTTTAGCAGTGAATTTATATTGTTAAACTGAGACGAAGCAGCACAAAAATAAAATCACTTAGACAGTAAAATCTATAATTCATATAAAAATTTGCAATACAATTTTATATACTTGTTGAGTTCCTTACTTTTGAATTCTAAGTTAATGTTGGAAGTGAAGAATCTAAGAACTGATAAGCGAATAATCGCTTGAGTTCGGTGACAAGAAACAACAAGATAGAAGGGTAACTAACCCTTCATTATTTCAATAAGATTTAACAAAACTCCGCCTGGGAGTGTACAAGTAAAGCCCGCACTTGGACTTGAACTTAAAAGACTAAGAATTAAACTAAAACTAAGATTAACTAAAGAAGTATAGCCGAAGCTATCAAGGTTCAAATCGAGCTGGCCCCTTAACTTATTTGACTACGAAGCTTAGCAAGGGCCTGAGTACGGCCGAGCGTAATAACAGCTTTGAGAAAGAGAGTGGCCAAAAAGGCAGACGCGCGTAAATCAGAAACTCTGATTCTCTCTGACTCAGTAAGTAACTTCATGGTTTAAATACCGCTCCTCGTCATTAAATATTCAGCAAGATTCCAAAACTACGTTCTGGCCGGAAGTAGTAAGTTGAAGTTAAGAATTTGACAGGAAAGGAACTTTAACTTAAAATTTAACTGTTAATAAAATTAACATAATCCTTACATACTGTACGATGTTTCATCCATAAATATATTGCCTTTGAATACAGAACAATGAAAAGTCTCGGTGTATGCGACTGTTTGAACATTACCTGGAAATACTGAAATTTGTTTAAATGTCCAGTCAATTAATGCATAAAATAAAGCACAAGTTTGTAAGGTATTAAATATTAATATCATTATTAAGAAAGGCAATATATGAGAGTGTAAGCTTCTCCAGTAGCTTCAAGATTAGGGCGAAAGTTTCTCTCGCATTTAGCATTTGACAAATGCGTTATATGCAGTATTTTAAACCATTTCTCTTCGTATTAAGAATTTAGGTTCCAAATAACTCTCTTCATATAATGCAAAAACAAGCTTCTAAATGATAAAATACGGAACGATTATAATTTAGATTTTGTATATTTTGATTTACTTCTATAATGTAAGTACTGTCAAACTAATATATATTATAGTATTTTTATTAATATTATGCGTATATAGGATTTAGCAAAGCTTTGTAACTTATTTTTATAAAATTTTTATTTCTTTTCAGATATTTTATACACTGGTGGTTACAGTCGGCACTTTTCATCTAGATCCTAGTATAGAAAATAAAGGTAAGCTCTCTTTTAAAATCAAACATACGCAAACCTGACCTCTACTTATGTTATGGAAATTGGATTATATCGCGATTAAAGGAAAAAACACCGTGTTTTATACTAGAACAGTCGTAAAAAATATTGTCTTCTCGCATGGTATTTTCATGAATCATGCATTTTTCAGGCTTAACTTTATACTTAGCTACAGTTCCCTTTCTTGTTGAATTATGTAGTGAGTGCTCTTGTAATTTCTTTGCAACCAACAACAATAATAAACAAAACAAAAAAAGCCTTAAACATCCTTTTGTACTTTACAGTCAGCAAATGCTTGCAGCCGAAAATGTTTTTGTCGTAAAGGATGCGGATAAAAAGGCTTGCAGATTAAAAATTCTTTCACATTTTTTTCTAATAAATGAAGTAAAATAATTAAATCTATATCGAATATAATCCTGCATTCTCAACTTGCAGGCTATCTTTTTATTTTTATTTTTCATTTTTACTCATTCGATACATTTTCCTATAACAGTGTATTTATTTTTATTCTATTATTTTGCATAATAAATTTTCAGATACGAAAATCGTAATTATTATTCTGCAACAATTTATATCTTATAACTATATTCTGTCTCTATAAAATATATATAGGTAATGATATAATCATTTTTGTTATTAATTAATTTTAATCCCGATTTATGATTATATTCTAGGAGATCTGAGCTCCTTGAAATTAGTTTTGATAATTTTTGGATTTTCCGGGAAATATGTGGATATAAGTTATAAGCGTGGTTGAAGAAAGATTCCGAAACCTGCCAGTTACGGTTTGACTGGTATTTGAAATTCAAATGCAAATACGTAAGTAACAGCTTTGACAAACACAGTCGCTTAGAAACTTCCTGGAATGCAGCCAAGCATATTCTTGATGGAAGTAATATATATTTTATACCATTCATTCCTGAAAAGCAGATTTAAATAAGATACTTTGCTAAAGGAAAACGTAATTTAACTCTATTTTCTGTTACATATCCCAACGGTTCAGTGATACGTCTAATGATTATGCAGAGTAGGAAAGAAATGTAAGGAGTATCTGTGGCAGTATCTGCATTATTAAATGGATAGGGTAGCTGAAAATGGCTACATAATCAACTTTACTTATTCTTCTTTGCCCCCTCAGAGGATAATTAGGAGTGTTGCAAATCTTGATTTGGCTGTTCAGGCATATCTAAACCACCATTACCTTTTACTGCAAGAAGCAGACTGCCTAGATATAAACTTCTACAGAACGTTTTCTATGCATAAACTTGTCCTAAGAGAGCGAATTTTGAAAACTTATCAGAAAACGGTGCTTTTATTCATGCATCATCACTCTATGTTTTATATTTCTGATACAAGTGTAGTTTCCAGTTTTCACCTACTTGGGAGAAAAGAGGCTTATAGATAGAAGTTCAGCTATAAATACCTTAACTGTGCAGTTTTCTGTAATTGTTCTGTAGACCAAGCTGAGACATCGCAGCTGTCGGAACAGTTTTCTTTTCTTTTTAAGAAGAAAAGATATAAAAATCTTATTTAGTTTCTTTCTGGTTCTGACATTAAGTTTTGTTTTCAACACAACAAATCTGTTCGCAAACGATATATTGCATGCTGTCATGACTTTAAATGCATCAAAAAACAGACTATCAATGATCTAATCTCTTTGCAACTTACTCAGTTCATTCATTTTGCTTTATTTCAAATTAAATTATATAATTTATTTAATCATTTTATAATTTAATTAAATAATATTATTTTGGGGGTTGTATTATAAGCTTACTGTGCAAATGATATAAATAGACTTTACATGGTGTTTTCATTATTTTGTACAACTCCACTATTTAATTACAGGAATTAACGTAATACTGCAGGGGGAAAACGTACTTACTGCTTCATTTAAAATCTTAAACATTTTTTTAATCAAAAATGATTTTTTGGAAATATTTGTTATCCAAACCGTTTCTATTTCCATTCAATTCGAATAATCGAGACACTACTCAGTTTTAAAATGGCTTTTAAAGTACACTAGTAAAATTAATTAAAAGAATTTTCATATTTGATCTACGATCTCCAGAACTACTGGACAGATTTTAATAAAATTTGATGTGAACATAGGTTGATATAATACAAACAAAATAAACATTCAACTGTTATAATAGACACATATGTTCGTGTGAAACACTCATAGAGTCTGAAGGTCTGAAACAGCGGTTGCAGAAGACACAAAAGAAATGGGTTAATAGGGGTATGGTCCTCTCTTACAGCCATACAGCGTGATGTCATACTTTATCAGTTATACTTTACAGTTTATCAGTGCCTCTAACAATCGGTCTCACTCATTCAGCAACGCTGTTTTCAGTTCCTGGATAGTTCTCGGAGGGAGGGTTGCGAGTTGCAATTGCGAAATGCCCCCACATACAAATCGCCACCTCATTCCATCATCTAAATGTTGGTGGTGACTCATTTTTACTGTTCCGATGTGAATTCAACCGATTGCTATAAGATAACACCAAGAAATCAGCCGAAGTGTGCTAGCGAACGCAATTCGTCTTACCCTCCATCCGCTTATAAAGCCTGTTTTTCTGTTGGCTTAGCCTACAGACATGTGTACGCTTACGTATTTGCCTTTGGAACTTTGGAACTTTGTGGTTATACTGGCTTTCAGCAGGAAATTAAAGTCCTGCTCTTGCCAGTTCCTGATGTCATCCCATGTGGGGCCTGACAGAGTAGAAACCTGAAAGAAATTTTCTCTCGTGGAGGTAGAAGTGTGCTGGAGAGAGAAAAAGAGAAAAAGAAGCACTTTGCTCCTGTACTGCTACATCTTGGATGGAATCCGCCAAGCAGGGGGGCCGGAGAAAGAAACTTCGGATGATCCCAGGTAATTAGCTTTATCAACTGTAGGGATGATTTTGCCAAAACGTTTAACCTCAGTTCTGACCCGTTTCCTCTGTCTGCGATTTCGAATGAGTAGAATCTTGGACTTTTCTGGCTGAATGCACGTTTTCCAGCGACTGCACCACCCCTCAATAGCAGGAATTTTAGCCTGAATTCTTGACAAGGCATACTCTGTGTTTAGAGACTTGGTGGCTATCGCTGTATCATCAGCGTAGCTGGCTGCGAGAACATTTGTATCCTCGGAAAAGCAAGGGAAATCGTTGGTATAGATGATGTAAAAAAGCGGGCCTAAAATTGACCCTTGAGGAATACCTGCGTAAATATTTTTGACACATGAAGTTGCATTTCCAACTCCAACGGTGCAAGTTCTATTTTCAAGGAAGGACTTGATAATGAGTATCAGATTTCTGGGGAAACCGAGATGAATTAGCTTATAGATTAGCCCTGGATGCCAGACGCGGTCAAAAGCCTTTGCCACGTCTAGCATCAGGATAGCAACACTCATTCTGTTGTGCATAGCCGCGCCGATGAACTCCGTGAGCCTGACTAACTGCGTTGTGGTCGAAAGTCCTTTCCGGAAACCGTGCTGGTGATCAACGAGAAAGTCCAAGTTTTCTTGCATTCTGAGATAAATAATACGTTCCAGGATCTTGCTTATGGAGGACAGCAGGCTGATGGGTCTAAAGTTTTCCGGGTAATCCTGTGTTTTCCCTGGCTTAGGAATCATCAGGATGCTTGCTTGCTTCCAGAAAAGCGGGAAATAATTTTGATACAAACATGCATTGAGAATGCCTGTTAATTTGCATACGGTCTTAAAAGGCATGTTTTTCAGCATCTGGTTCGTGCGTATTTGGCGTACAAGATTTGCATTTTTATCTGGAAGCAGTGGTTTTTCTTTCAGTTCAATTCTTTTCATGCAATTCGATAAAATGTGCGAATTCTCTTAATTTATTTCACCAGTGTACTTAAAAGTCTAGCAGAGGTCGAGAGCTTTAAGGAGCTGGCCTAGTCGTCTTGTATATTATCAACTTTTATTCTCTATCTTAACTATTTTAGATTATAAACTAAAACATTCACAAACCAGGAGTTAAAAGCTCTTTTTAACCGCCTTAAATTTTACAAAATTAAAGCCAGCAGAAAATTATTCCGGTTAATTATTTATTCTAATAGCATAATTTATATCTAGAGAGAACAATATAACATTGGATGAGAACTTGGCTAAATCTCACATTACTTAACCTATATTAGAATATATAGTGTAGTTAATGAAATAGTATAAAAATATCCATATAGCTAAACGATTAAACATCACATTTTGAAATATTACTTATCAGATAATCCAGTAGGTAATTTTTAACGTGGATAATTGAACAAGCAATTCAAATGCTGTGCAAAATGTTCAATCACTCATCATTCACTCAAAATCATTCTCCCAATCACATTAAAAGAAAGGCGAAGCATTTTCTTAACAACCAAGACAAGCAGCATAATTTCTTATTGGAGAGCAAAGATTTTTCAATGTTTTCTAGCTAGAATGTGTTGTACTATTTGACTTTTTCTCCAGATTTGTCTCCTTATAATTTCATTCTCTTCCTAAAACTGAAACTTTCCTTAAAGTAATAAGTTATTCTTTAGTGTTCTCATAGTAAAAAGACTTAAAGAAATGCGAACTTTACTTTAAAGATTTAGAAAAATTATCGTGTTCCACGCATTATTTGACTGTACCGCTGCTTGCATTCATGAGGGAGGATGACATTTCGAATAATATGTTTAGACTTGTCACATCAATTATAGTTTAAACTTTCCTTGATGTTGTGAGAACACAATTTTCTCACTGTTGGACTTAATCGTCATCCATTTAATCGTAAGTTAAATCGTCATCGAAGAGATGCACGCTGAAATAAATTCTCGCGAAACTGGTTTATCGCCCTGCTTTCTGAGGACGACATCAAAACGGAGAGGCCGATGCTATTCACACCAGTGGTGCGATTAGCCGCTTAAGCTATTCGCACCACCATTAACCACGCATACGCATTGAATCGTCAGATCCGTAACGGATTTGTCACAGTGTTTGGAGTGATAATATTCTTATATAG